TCTTACGGCCCAACCTTATCCCATACAACCTTATCCTCGAAAAGAGCTGCTTCTGAGACGATTAAGCTATGTCCGTCTGTCTACCTGTCTGTTCGTCCGTCCGTCCGTCTGTGTTTCCATGTAAACCTTGTCCACTCGCTACAATTCGCCATTTTCAAGATAATTTGATGAAATTTTGAGTATACACCTCTTACGGCCCAAGGATGAACACTATCGAAAATTTCACTTAGCCCCCATACAACCGTATCCTCGAAAAGAGTTGCTTCTGAGACGATTAAGCTATGTCCGTTTGTCTGCATGTCTGATGTTCCGTCCGTCTGCGTTTCCATGTAAACCTTGTGCACTCGCTACAGTTCGCAATTTTCAAGATAATTTGATGCAATTTTGAGTATACACCTCTTACGGCCCAAGGATGAACACTATAGAAAATTTCACTTAGCCCCTTACAACCGTATCCTCGAAAAGAGCTGTTTCTGAGTCGATTAAGCTTTGTCCATCTGTTGGTCCGTTTGTCAGTCCGTCCGTCTGTGTGACCATGTAAACCTTTTCCGGTGTCTATTTTCAAGATAATTTGATGAAATTTGAATAGTCCCCATAACATCGTACCCCCGAAAAGAGTTGTTGAGCACATAATTATGTAAAATGTGCTAGCATCTCTACATAAATAGGCACAACTTAGTTTTGTTGTACATATGTAGGTCTCAATGTTACTGCCGAGTAATGTTAGGATCTCATTTGACCCTAGCCCCCATACAAAGTCCCGTTTCGAAATTGACTTGAATGTCAATAATGCACTAGTATCACGATAAAATTCTGTATAAATAACTTTAATGTGAATTTAAATCCCTCTACTAATATGTATTTATAAGGATAGGAATATATTTACACATAAAAAAATTAAAAAATCTAATCTTAAAACATATCTATGAGAAAATTCAATACAAACCACCTGCCCCCAAAACTCAAACTAACACAATATATTCCCTACACTTAAGAATACAACCAAATGAGACACCCTTACAGCAGCAACAACGACGACAAGCAACCAATATATAATAAAACCCCTAAAAACAGAATCAAAGAAATGAAATTGAAAGAAAAAAATCAAGAGGAGACCAAATAAAGAATATGGCAAAAAAAATATAATAAAATATACAATCAAATCCACAACTAAATAGAAATAAAAATGAACGAATTTTACTCTTACAACTTCATATGACGATTTTTCTATACAGAAAGAAAAAAAAAACAGCAACATTTTGCTACGGGATAAGTAATAATAACAATAACAAAAACAACATGAAAAATACTAAGAGAAACAGCAGCAATAACAACAAGAAACAGCATTATTTTATTTGTTTTTTTTTAATTCTTTCAACAACAAAAAAAGAAGAAATGGCAGAACAACAATGAATTGTTAACAACAACTACAAATTCTACTACTACTGACTGCTGCTGCCAGCCTGCTCTGCTCCACCTCACTCTACGTTTTGTTTACTGGTTTACAAAACACAAAAAACATACACACACATAGCAGACAACAACAACAATAACAGCAAATCGGGAGACATATAAAAAAAACACGAAGAAAAAATCTTCAACGAAAAGAAAAAAAAACCAACAAAAAAACTTATCGAATTGAATAAATGCAAAAGACATAAAAAATCGAACTCTGAGAGCTTAACACCATTTATACAACAACAAAACAAACACATTCATGTACACACATTCAAACACCCAACTAACTGGGTAGCTTATACAATAACAACGCTAGTAAGAGAGAAAGAGAAAGCTTGCTTATTGTCAAGTAATCAAAGAATCCAACAACAAAAAATGGGGGGACTAAATACAAAAAAAAAAAAAAACAATAAGAAACGAAAAAAATCAACCATACACATAATAACAGGAAAATAACAGAGAGCTCTGGCTTAATAAACAACAACAACAAAGAGTACTTGAAATTTTTGTACAAGAGAGCAAGAGTTAAATAAATAAATAAAATTATAATAAAAATACAATTAAAAGAAATTTAATTTATTTAATTTTCTGGCAGCAACCAAAAAAAAAAACACACAACAACTGCAGAAACCCAAACATTTGTAATGTTGTTGCTGTTAGAAGAAGGGGTTAGAGTTTGTTTTAACGGCAAAGGGGGAGGTGAGTTAAATAAGAAAAGAGAGCTTGTTTTTAACCAAAACTCACTCTCCTTAATCTATAGAGAGTTGAAGAAGACAAAAATAAAAAATACTTATAAAAAATCAAACATCATAAATATGTAAACAGTATTGCCAGTTAAAAAAGGGGGGATTTTCAAAAATTGGATATCAATTTGGTCCAGACTATAGACTATTCTATAGTCCAGACTATAGACTATTCTATAGTCCAGACTATAGACTTTTCTATAGTCCACACTATAGACTATTCTATAGTCCAGACTATAGACTATTCTATAGTTCGGACTATAGACTAATCTATAGTCCAGACTATAGTATTTTATAGTCCAGACAATAGAGTATTCTATAGTTCAGACTGTAGACTATTCTATAGTCCAGACTATAGAGTATTCTATAGTCCACACTATAGACTATTCTATAGTCCAGACTATAGACTATTCTATAGTCCACACTATAGACTATTCTATAGTCCAGACTATTCTATAGTCCAGACTATAGACTATTCTATAATCCAGACTATAGACTATTCTACAGTCTAGACTATAGACTATTCTATAGTCCATACTATAGACTATTCTATAGTCCAGAGTATAGACTATTCTTTAAATTAGACTATAGATCAATCTATAATCCAGACTAGAGACTAATCTATAGTCCAGACTATAGTCTAATCTATAGTCTAGACTATTGACTAATCTGTGGTGTAGACTAATACGTGGTTCATACTTTAAACTAGTCGCTGGTCCAGACTACAGACTGACCTATAGTCCAGACTGATCTAAAGTCCAGTAAATAGACTGATCTATAGTCCTGACTATAGACTAGTCTTTAATAAATGATTATAATATTGTATTGACTTCAATATAGTTTTGACCATAGTCTTGACTATGTATAGACTAGACAGCAGTCTTGACAATAGACTAGATTCTTTACTATAGATTAGACTATAGTCTTGACTATAGACCAGACTATAGTATTGGCTATCTACTAGACTACAGTCTTGAATAAATACTAGACATTAGGCTATAGCCATGACAATAGACTAGGCTGTAGTCTTGATTATAGAGTAGTCTACTATATTGACTATAGACTAGATTACATATTATCTTGACTACATTTTTGACTATAGACTAAACTATAATATTTACTATATACTATGGTCTTGACTATAGTCCAGTCTGTAGCCTTGACTTTAGACTAGGCGATAGCCTTCAGTATAGAATAAACTATAATCTTGACTATTAACTAGACTATAAACTTGACTATAGACTAGACTTTAATCTTGACTATAAACCGGACTATTGACTTGACTATAGTTTTGACTTTAGACTAGACTGTAATGTTGATAGACTTGACGGTAGTCTTGTCTTTAGATTAGACTATAGTCTTGACTATAGACTAGACTATATTCTTGACTATTGATCATTCTATGGTCTTGTCTAAAGATCATTCTATAGTCTGGACTATATACCATTCTATAGTCTGGACTATATACCATTCTATAGTCTGGACTATAGACCATTCTATAGTCTGGTCTAAAGATCATTCTATAGTCTAGACTATATACCATTCTATAGTCTGGACCATAGACCATTCTATAGTCGGGACTATAGAACAATCTATAGTCTGGACTAAAGACCATTCTTTAATCTGGACTATAGAACGTTCTATAGTCTGGACTACAGACCATTCCATAGTCTTGACTATGGTCCAGTCTATTGTCTTAAATCAAATTTCTTTTTTAAAAAAAAACTATTTCCTGATTTCATTTAATAAACAAATTTGTAAATTTTCATTTAAATTAAAAATATTTTACATTTTGGGGATTTTCTTTAAGGACTTGGGGATTTTGCCGTAACTCCTTTTTTTCCTTTAATGCTGGCAACAAGCAACAACTCAAAATGTAAATTATCAAAGTATTGGTTTGAAATAAAATTATCATGACAGTTTTTCTTTTCTTTACTGGTTGGTGTAGTTGTTGTTGTTGTTGCTGTTGCCTATACTAAGGTTTTGTTGTAATCCTAACAGGAGAATATACTGCTTAACTTTGTTTTTTTTGCCTATTATTAAATGAGATAGAGAGAGAGTGTGATTTTTTTTTGCTTGTAATAAGTGTGAGGTATTTTTTTTTGCTTTTCAATACAAAATTATATTCATATTTGAGGAGCAGGAGCAATATGAATGAGTGTAAGAATAAAATACAAATTTTGAATTGAATAAAACAAATCAAACATTACGACAGACGTTGTTGTTATTAAACCGAGAGTGAGAGCAGCGATATATTTACGAGAGAGAGTTGTATGTAAAAAAAAAAACAATAAAAACTGGAAATGAATCAAAAATATAAAAAAAGAGGAAAATTTTACAAATCATACTCATACTGCTTGAATAGAAATATTTAGAATATTGTTAAATTTATCACACACAACAAACAAACAGACAAACGAACTCAAACATATTTGTTACAAGAATTGAAAAACAACAACAACAATACTCACGTGTGGTTAACTATCCGTAATGTGGTTGTTGTAATATGCTACTATTTTTTCTTTCTTTAGGGTTTGAGTAAGAGTAACAGTTTTGTGTTATTGAATGAGGGGCGCGCGAGAGAGAGCAAATGTTGCGACACACACTCATACACACTCTCAAACATAACACACAAATTGAGAATGAGTATTGAAGTAGATAAAAATGAGTAGAGTTTAATACAAAAACAAAAAAACGCTGCTTTGCTTGCTTGATTGTTGTTGTTATTTGGTTTTGTACTCTATAATGTTGTTTTTGTTTAATGGGGTTGTGTAAGCTGCGTTAATGTTCGATTTGTTCAGTCATCAGTTGAATTCGTGACAGGCAACATCTCATTAGATTAACGTTGCTCTGTCGTTTATTTAGTTAATAATCAAATCACAACACACTTACTATATATACAAATATAAATACAACAACAAAGCAAGAAATTTATTAAACAGAAGAAGAAAACAAAATCAATCAATTTTGAATTAAATTTTAAGTAAAACCTAACAACAACACATATAATAATGATTTAAAAAAAATGGAAAATTTTATGTGAAAAAAAAGAAAATTTTAAATTGAAAAGTTAATTCTAAATAAAAGGAGTTTGAAAATTTGTTTAAATAACAACAACAACAACAACAACAAGAAAAATAAAAACAAGTGTTTTAAATTACAAAAACAAGTGTTTGATATCAAATTTTAAAAAGAAATTGTTATAACAACTACAACAACAAAACAAAAACAAGTGTTTGGTGTTTGAAAACAAAAAAATTTTTTTAACTAATGGATTAATTAACTACTAATTGAATAAAATTATCTGGGATTAAAAACAAAACTCAATTTTTAAACAAAAATGATTGGCAAAATTTTATGAAATTAAAAAAAAAAATGTTTAAAATATGACAAAAACAACTTAAAGAAAATCAAAGCTAAATGGCCAAAATAAAATTAAAATTACAAAATTTTTTTGCTAAAAAAATTTAACACTAAAGTTTTTCTTAATTATTAATTAAAAAAAAAACAATTTATAAAAACCTTAACAACAACAACAAAAAAAGACAAACTGGAAGCTAAACAAAAAATAACGTGTAAAACAACTTTAGGCCAACAGTCGTCTAACGGTGGTTCCCCTACCAAGACTGCTGGCTTGTTAAGTGGCAACAACTCACTAACACCACCACCACCCCCTTCATCAACAACATCATCATCATCTTTAGCATCTTCATTAGCCAACTCATTAATAACATTAGCTCCTAAACAACAAGAAATTAATTTACTACTGGATCCAAATACAACAAATCAAAAAAGCAGCCGAATGCAGCCAACATTGCCACAAACAGCCGGTACAGCCGATATGGATTTGACGGCTGTGCAATCAATGGATTGGTTTTTCAAAAAGGAACAAATTTATTTATTGGCACAATTTTGGCAACAGGTAAGTGTTTAATATTTTTATGAAAAAATTTTCAATAAAAACCACAAAAGTTTAAAAAATCGTCCAATTAGTTGAAAAATTTTAAATCAAAAGTTTGAGATTCTTTGTAAATCCATAAAATTCGATTCCTAAAATAAAATTTTAAATGAAAACAAAAAAAAATTTATTCAAAAACGTCACAAAAAAATTAGTGAAAATAGCTTCTGGTTGGCTAAAAACTCCCGTATTTGTTGCTTTTTATATGAAAACTCTATTAATGAAATTGTTTCAAATTTTGTTTATAACAAACTTCAATGGATTGTTAATAATTTTTAGAAAAAATATTTTCAATTTTCTTAAAATTTTTAAATATTTGAAACATTTTACAAATTGACCTTCTTTTTTTATGAGGAAACAAATTTGAAACATTTTGGAATTTTCGACTGCTGTTAAGAAAATACATATTGTTGTAATTGGAAAACTTTAAGTTTTATTGAAAGTTCAATTAGTTTTTAACAAATTACAGAAGAAAAAAATTTAATTTTCTTAAAATTTTTAAATATTTGAAACATTTTACAAAATAAGCTTTTTTTCTTATGAGTAAACAAGTTTGAAAAATTTTGGGATTTTCGTCTGTTCATAAGAAAATACATATTGTTGTAATTGAAAACTTGTTAGTTTTATTGAAAGTTCAATTAGTTCTTAACAAATTACAGAAGAAAAAATTTTCATTTTCTTAAAATTTTTAAATATTTGAAAAATTTTATAAATTTCTTATTTTTATAACTATTTTGCCTTTAATGAAAAAAGGTTCTGCTTTTTTGTTCTTGTTTAATTTAAAATTAGTTTTATTTATTAAATGTTTAATAAATTTTTCTTGTATATTTCTTTTTCAAAAAAAAAAAAAGCTTTTTTTTTATTTTTAAAAAATTTCAAGCGGAAAATCTTGATGATTTTAAGTCAGTTTTTCAAGCGTGCAAAGTCAATGTTTTTTATTGCAGTAAATAAATAGCAAGCAATCAGTTAAATTTTTACAACATTTATTTGGAAAAAAACAAACAAAAGACAAATAGTTTAAAACTATATAAAATAAACATTAAAACAAAAATTTTTAAAGTAAAGCTTAGTAAACTTTTAGGGTTTAAAGAAAAATGTAAAATAAATATATCAATACTTTTCCTTAGTTTTGTGAGTTAATTTAGTTAAATAAATTCTATATATTTTGAAATTAGTTCACGCTTTAAGGTTTTTGAAAGTCTTTTATTATTATAGCTTAATTTTCTTTAACATATTGTAAGCTTTTAGGCGTTTTTTTCGCTTTAGTTTTCATTTGGGTTAAAACTTAAGTTAAACAAATTTTGTTTTAGGAATAGTTGTTAAAAGCATAATTGTTCTTAGAAGTTTGGAGCGTGTGTTGCCTAATTTTGTTGTTTTATATAGTACTTTTAGGCGTTCTTGGGTTAAATTTCTTAATTTAACATTTGATTTGTTAATTTTATTAAACAAAGTTGGTTTTATAAAGAATTTGTTTAAGTGTAATTAAAGCCAGAAGTCTTGAGAGTTTTTAGCCTAAAACAGTTTTGTGAAGTTGCCTATTCTTAGGCGTTTGAAAAGAAATTTCAAAATTTAAACATTTTTTTTTTAATTTTCTTTAAAACCACTTTAATTTGTTAGTTTTGTTAAAGAAATTTTGCTTTAGAAAAAAATTGTTTAAGTATAATTAAATCTAGAAGTCTTAAGAGTTGTTAGCCCAAAACAACTTTTAAGTGTTGCCTATTCTTCGGCGTTTGAAAAGAAATTTCAAATTTTAAAAATTTTTGCTTTAATTTTCTTTAAAACCACTTTAATTTGTTAATTTTGTTCAAGAAATTTTGTTTTATAAAGAATTTGCTTAAGTGTAATTAAAGCTAGAAGTCTTGAGAGTTGTTAGCCTAAAACAGCTTTTAAGTATTGCCTATTTTTAGGCGTTTTAAGGGAATTTCAATATTTGTCATTAATTTCCATAAAAACTAATTTAATTTGTTAATTTTGTTAAAGAAATTTTGTTTTCAAAAGAATTTGTTAAAGAATTCTTAAACTTTGTAGACTTTAACGTTATTGGCCTAAAACATATATTATGTATTGCCTACTTTTAGGCGTTTTAAGGGAAATTTTAAAATTTAACCATTTTTGCTTTAATTTTGTTTTAAACCATTTAAATTTGTAAATTTTGTTTTCTAAAGAATTTGTTTAACAATTATTTAACTTCGAAGTTTAGAGAGTTAGAGTAAGTGTTGAAAATTAGCTTTAAATTTTGGCCTATTTTTAGGGGTTTTTAAAGGAAATTTTGTAAGAAATGTTATGTTTTTCTTTGATTTTATGTTGTATTGAAAAAAAAACTCCTTAAAATTATAGTTTTATCTTGTTTTCTGGTAAAGTGTTTTATCTGGTGTCTGTTAATGTTGGAGGTTCCACTAATTGCACAAAATAATGATGGCTATTGGCCATCATATGATAAAACGCATTAAGGCATGACATTAAAACAAACACTCTGTTATAAAAGAAGTGATTAAATGAACAAAAAAGGAAATATAAAATTTAATAAAAGACAAGAAATTTTAATTGAAAAAAAACGAAAGAAAATTTTTAATAAATTATTATAATTTTTAAAAATTTTTTAAATATATTTTTAGAATTTTAAATATTTTTTTTATAATTTTTAGAATTTTAAAAATTTATTTAAATTTTTTTTTTATAATTTTTCATATATTTTTTTTAATTATTTTAGTTTTCTTTTTTATGTTTAAAAATTTTTATTATTTCTTAAAATTTTTTTGGAAAATTTTTTGGAATTTTTGTTTAATGCCGTCGGCTTTTTTTTTATTACTTGTCATTCATTCATACGTTTTAAATATTCCGTTTCTTTTTAAAACATTTTTAATTTATCTGTTAGTTGCACGCTTGCTTGAAATTCAATCTTTGTTTGTAGCAATGCAGAAAATAACAACAACAACGACCATCACAAAAGATCATTATGTATCGAAATCTTGCATAAAATGCAAAAAATAAAACTTCCTTTCCAGCTTCAGTAAATTTTGCAAATCAATATTTTGTTTTCAAAAATTCTATAGAATTTTTTGCTGCTGCTTCTAGGAATTTTTAGTTAAAAAGCAAACAACTTTGTATTTTGTTAATGAGTTTTTTTTTTTTTAAATTGAACAAAAAATGTATTGAAATTAGAATATTAGATGACGTTAAATGAATTTTAAAAAATTAAGCTTAAATTTTTAAGTTTTTTTTTTTTTTAATTTCTTTATAAAACATTATTAAATGCCATTTCAATTTATGTTAAAAATTAAGTTAAAACTAATAACAATTAATTATATTTGCGTGTTTAGAGTTTTTTTTTGTTTAAAACAAATTTATTATTTGATTTGCTATTTCATGTTGTGTGTGTGTTTAGCTACATTTAATCAATAAAATTATTGAAAATTACTTTTGATTGAAGTATTTATTTGTTTAGGAAAAACAAATATTTAGTTTTTTTTTAACAGGTTTTTCTCTGGTATTAATAATAATTTACAATTGATTTGTTTGTTTTGTTTTTGTTTTCTCTCACATCATGTGATTGATTAATTATTATTAAATATTAATTATTAATATTAACAATAATTTATGGAAAAAGTTTTAATAAAAATAATAATGATGTCATTTTTTTATAATTTATCGAAAGAAATCATTTTATATTTAAAATTTTTTTGTTCTATATATTTTTCTTCTTACTTAGTTTGTCTAGACTTGGTGTTAAGATTTCTTGTTTTTTTTTTGTCTTGCCATTTTGCTTACTTTCATCATTATGTTGCAAAAAATATTAACATTTGTTGTTTTTTGCCGCCTAGTGTGTTGTTTGTGTATTACTCCTAGACATTTTGGCAGTAAGCCAATTTACCATATATGCCCTTTTATGTGTTTCTTTCTGTTATTAAGTCCCTTTAAAAGGTAAAAAAATTAAACTAATTTTTAAAAAAAATTATAATTTTTGTTACAAAATTCCCCTTTAAAACTCTATTCAGCTAAATGCTTTAAAAGAAATTATTAAAATTTTTCCATATAAGCTTTAATTCGTTTAAAAATTTCATTTTAAAGCTAATTCAGCTAGCTGAATATAAGGAAAATTATGATATTTAGTTTATAATTCACATTTATAGTTGAAATATTAAATTTTATTACTATTCATAAAATAAGACATTTTTTGTTAGATTAAAGGCTTTAAAACAAATTCAGCTAGCTGAATATAAAGAAAATTAACTAATTTAGTTAATAACCCTCATTTCTAGTTTAAATATTAAATTTTATTACTATTCAGCTAGCTGAATTGTATAAATCTTAAATATTTTCCATAAAATAAGACATATTTTGTTATATTATAGCCCCTAAAACATATTCAGCTAACTGAACTTAAAGAATTTTGTTAATTTCCTCTTTTTAAACATATAATTTTCATAAAATTGTAATTTAAAACAAATTCAGCTAGCTGAATATAAAGAAAATTAATTAATTTAGTTAATAATCCTCATTTATAGTTTAAATATTAAATTTTATTACTATTCAGCTAGCTGAATTTTATAAAATTTTCACAATTTCCATAAAATAATAAATTTTTTGTTATATTAAAGGCTTTAAAACATATTCAGCTAGCTGAAGTTAAAGATTTCTATAAAATTTCCCTTAATAATGATTAAATTTTCACCAAACTACAATTTAAAACGAATTCTTTAGTTGAATAGCTTAAAAATTAACTTATACCGATTTTATTCAAAGTTTTCTAGCTTTCTGACTAATTTTAGCTTAATTCAGCTAGCTAAATGGAATGAAATTTCTAAATTTGGTTATTTTTATTAGTTTTTTTCCATAAAAATTTCTTTATTTTACAATTCAGCTGGTGGAATATGGAAAATAAAACAGTTTTAATATGTATATAACAAAATTTTTAACTAATTGCTTATTTTTTTGTTATTCAGCTAGCTGAATATGTAAAAAAT